TCCCTTTTCTGTTTACCAGAGTTCTGCTCTACAATACCCCCCACTCCTAGACTCATTCCATAGCACTAGAGGGATCCGTCCTTCCTGTGTCCCCCCACACGGCTGTCAGAATTATTCCTGTGTTGTCAGTTCTTTAGCACAGGTGTCTGGATGAACAGGTGTCGTCTCACCCCGACATGCGGGGTCTAGGCTAGCCGAAAGTCCTCGCTGTTCCGACTAGTCCTCAGGAATAGTCCTGAAGGATCTTCAGTGGTGGTGGTTGCTTATTTATTTCTTCCACATGAGAGAGAGAATAAGAGACAGGCATGGGCCCAGCAGGTGGTATGGTGGTTAAGGCACTGGACTCCCACAGGGATGACCATGGTTCGTGTCCTGGACCCAACAACTTGAAAATCATGCCAGGCACATGTTTGTGCATGCGTGCAAGCCCAAAATCCCCGGAGGAGAATAGAGAAGGGATCGTGGCATGGCCATCCCAGGGAGGTGATTTCTCACTTTCCTTCTCACTGTCTCTCCATCCGTATCCGGTGAGCACATGTGCCCTATGGCAAAAATACCTAAAAAATAAATTGAAATGTTAACAAATATAAAAAGAGAAGTAGGCGCCCTCAACTGCGCCTTCACACCATGGTCCACCGGAGCCTCCCTCACCCCCTGATCACGGGCACTTACGGTCCCAGGACATGAACCTCAGACTTCCCCGTGTTGATCCAGCTGTGCTATAGCTGCACCCGTGCCCAGCCCGGATCTGCAGTCTGACTGTTGTACAAACCTCTGCTAACGCATCTGCGCTTTCTCCCTGAAGCTCTCCGGGAGGCCAACGTGGACTGTCTGACCTTAGGACAATACATGCAGCCCACGAGGCGCCACCTTAAGGTACAGAGATCTTGACTTGCCCCATGTTTTGGTCATTTGAATGGAATCGTCCTGTCCAAGACACTCCAGCTGTTACTGTAATGTCTCACATGTATTTTTAAGTCCCAGTTTCCACCTCATCCTCTGCACAAGGCAGCTGGGCTGGCACTTACCTGCTGGCCCTCCAATGGCACAACTCCTGTGAACCTACAGAAAGGAGTCTCCCAGCTGGAGAACTAACTACTCATGCACTTAGTGACCACGTGACTTGTTCAGAGCTAGAGAGCTAGGTGTGGAGTCAGGCTAGTCTTTCTATGTCTCTGTTCGAGACTTGTCTTGAGCCATGATCCTGGGCCACAAACGGTGCCAAGCAGGAGATATGAGATGAGTAAGATAGCCTTGTCCCCAAGAATCTTGGCCCAGCAAGTGGCATAGAGGTTAAGGTGCTGGATCCTGCATGGCTAGGTACATGGTTCAAGTCCTGGACCTGGTGGCTTGAGAATCATGCTGCATACCCCAGATCCCAAGAGGAGAATAGAAGGGATTGATGCATGGCCATTCCCACCCCCAAGGGTAATTTCTCTCTCCCCCTACCCCGTATCTGGCGAGCACACACACCCTATAGCAAAAACTTAAAAATCTTATAGGCATAACTACTTTTTAAATTCAATTATATTATTATTATTTCAGTTTGCTGTAGGATACATGCGCATGCATGAGAGAGGGGAAAAGAGAGTAGCCACCAGGCCTGGCCCTCAGAACCATGGCCGGTCACGTGGCTGGCCATCAGCTGGCTCTAGCATAACTAATTGATTATACCTGTCAACCAATGAAAAAATTCAGATAATCTCTACGGACAATCTCACGATCTCGCCCCATTCTTTGGGGTAGCTAACGTAGTACAAAATTGATCTGGATTTCCTCAGTTCTCTCATTGTCTGTAATTATGTTCTGACAGATTGCCCAGCAAGTAACCAGCAGATACATAGTTGTGAGGGGGAGAAGGGAGACGGGGTGGGCTTGGATAAGTGAAGTGAAAACCGTTCTGAATACCTGGGTGTAGACTCTCTGTAGAGCAGAATGACTTGGGAGGATTCTAGAGCCTGATCAGAAGTAATGATTTAAATCTAGGTTGAGGAGTATATTACTCCCGAGAAGTTCAAATGCTGGGAGAAAGTAGGAAATGAGCTTGGATTTCATTACACTGCCAGCGGCCCTTTGGTGCGGTCTTCATACAAAGCAGGTACGTCTGAACGCCGGGGAGGGGTTCATTTAGGCCAGTGACTTCCCATGGTAAGTTTGACCCACGTCCCCGGGGCTCTCGAACAAATCCTCGTAGATGTGGCTGTCTTCAGGGGTAGGGATAGAGTGGGTTTTGTGTGACAGTTCTGACCCTGCTCCAGCCAGCTTTCCGTGGGCCGTGCACGGGCCTGCATTTTGAGCCTTAGGGTGTTGGGACTGTGTACGGAGGAGGGCATCGGTCCTGCTCGTGTACCTACGGTGACGTCGGGAAGTCCGTCAGGCTCCTCGGACTCCTCCGGCGCTGAGTTCTGTCGCTAAGTGCTGAGCCCTGCTGTAACAGCGAGACTGCGTGGAACCCTGTGGCCTGAGAAGTGAACGCGCCCCCTAAGGAGCTAACTTACTGCACGGCGCAACCCCCAGGGTGCAGAAAGCCCAGTATAATGAGGAGCTCTTGCTTCCTTGGAGGGGAATAAGCTACAGAGTTCATCAGATAGGTCTGCAATGATCTGATCTAAAGACCAGGTCCAGGTGCTCCTGAGATGGGCGTGGCCAACGGCAGTACATTGTCAGCGATGATGATAGACAGGGTGCTGAGTGGGGCAGGCGGGCAGGAGCAGACCCAGAGCTACTGGAGGTCACCCTTCATGATACTGGGGTACCAGAATAATAGATCCGTAGTGATAAACAGCTGTTAAAAAGGATAATGACTAATTATCAGTGTTGGGGCTGAAGAAAGAAGGGATGTTTAGTTTTGAAAAATATTGCTGGGGCTGGGGACCAGCAGATGGCGTAATGGTTATGTCACTGGACTCCCACATAGTTGACCATGGTTTGAGTCCCCAACCCAGCGACTTAAAACTCATGCCAGATGTGTGTGCACCTGTGCCCAAAATCCTGTGGAGAATGAAGGAGAAGGGATTGTGGCATGGCCATCTTCCCTCAGGGGAGTGATTTCTGTCTCTGTCTCTCTGTCTCTCTCTCTGGTAAGCACACACACCCTATAGCAAAAAGTCTCTCTTAAAAAAAGTGATATATTGCCACCATGGTGGTTAAGGTGCTGGACTCCCACATAGCCAACCATAGTTCAAGTCCTGCACCCAGCACCTTAAAAATCATGCTGGGCATGAGTGTGTATGCCCAAAATCCCAGGAGAAAAATGAAGAAGGGATTGGCCATTCTCCTTTGGGGGTGATTTCTCACTTTCCCTCTCTGTGTGTCTCTCTCTCTGTAAAAGTATAATTCTGAAATAAGTATCTGTTGTTTACTTTTTTCTTTTTAGAGATTTTTGCTATAGGGCATGTACACTCACCAGAGAGACAGAGACAGAAGGCCAAGAAAATCACCTCCCGGGGGAATGGCTATGCCACAGTCTCCTCTATTCTCCTCTTGGGATTGTGGGCACACACACACACACACACACACACACATGCCCGATGTGAATTTTAAGCCGCCAGGTCCAGGACTCGAAACCTAGTCAACTAGGAAGGAGTCTAGCAACGTAACCATTACACCATGTGCTGGTTCCTGTTTACTTTAAATGAATACTAATGTGTTTTCATTTTTCCTAAATAGGTGAATTTTTCCTGAAAAATCTAGTGTCTAAAAGAAAAACAAAAGCCCTCTAAAACTTAGACGAGACCTCCATGATCACAGAGATTTTCAGATTTGATCCCAGCTGATGACAGAGGTGACGCCGTGGGCCTCGACTTCAGTGGCTGTGCCCCACTTTTCCTGCTTTAAGAATGTCAATAAACTGTACATATTTCATGAAGTTACTCAGCTGGCTTTTGGAATACCATCTCTGTTCCAATAAACAGTTGCTTGCGGTGATATAAAGCATCTTTGTTAGAGTTTGCTGTTAACAGTCTCACGTTAAATTACATGAAAAACTTCTAAGGGCTGGCAGGTGGTGTGGTGGTAGAGGTGCTGGACTCCCACATGGCTGATCACGGTTCAGGTCCTGGACCTGGAGGCTTGCTTTCTTAATTCCCCCCCTCCTCTCTATCTGGTGAAATTAAAAAAAAAAAAAAAAAAAGGATAATAAAACTAAATAAATAATTTGTTAAAAAACAATTCCCAGGGCTGGCAGGTGGCATGGTGGTTAAGGGACTTCCACATGTCATAGGGCATGTGCGCTCCCTGTAGAGACAAGAGAGACGGAAAGTGAGAAATCACCCCTTGGGGGGGATGGCCATGCTGCAATCCATTCTCCTCTCAAGATTTTGGGTATACACACACACACATGCCCAGTGTGATTTTCAAGCCACTGGGGGTGGGACTCAAACTGCAGTCAACCATGTGGGAATCCAGAGCCTTCACCACCACGCCATCTGCTGACCCCATCCTTTTTTTTTTTTTTAATAGTTGTTTTGCTGTTGGGTGCAAGCACTTGCCAGACAGAGAGAAAACGAAAAATCATCCCTCAGGGGGAATGGCCATGCCACAATCCCTTCTCCTCTGTCTCCTCATGGGATTTTGGGCATGCATGTACACATGCCCGTCGTGAGTTTCAAGCCTCCAGGAATGGACTCAAACTGTGGCTGACCACGTGGGAGTCCAGCAACTTAACCACTGTGCCACCTGCTTGCCCCTCTTCTACCTTTTAATCCATCTATATATACTTTTTAAAAAAATAATACTTGTCAGAGAGAACATGTGCGCATAAGAGAAGAGACAGATATTAAGAGCCCTTGAGGGGCCGGCAGGTGGCGTGGTGGTTAAGGGTGTTGGACTCCCACATGGACGACCGCAGATGGAGCTCCAGACCTGGTGGCTTGCTTTCTCACTCTCCCCTCTTTCTCTTGCTCTCATTCTCACTCTGTCCCTGTCTGGTCAAATTTAAATAAATAAACTTTTTAATTTTAATAAAGAGCCCTTGAATGGAGTAGAAAAGGGAGAAAGTTGCCATACTCCTCTCCATTTCTCTGCCTCCTCAGGATTCCGGGCATGCATGCACACGCCCAGGATGTTCAGTTCCTGGGGCCAGCACTTGGACCCCAGCTGGCTGTGTGGGACCCGACTTTCACACAGTGCTTCATTACTCTGCTATGGGGGCAACCTTCATCTTATTTCACACACAATTACTTACCAATTCTAGGTATTGAAGCATCCTGCCATTTAATGCAATTGCCGAATTCCACCTGCTTTAGCAAGGCATTTTGTGTTTGTCATCTCTTTTTTTTTTTTTTTTTGGAGAGATTTTCACTGTAGGGCGCGTGTGCTCGCCAGACAGACAGAGAGAGACATAGAGACAGAAAGCGAGAAATCCCCCCCCCGGGGGGGATGGTCACGCCGCAATCCCTTCTCCTCCATTCTCCTCTCGGGATCTTGGGCAGGCACACACACGCGCCCGGTGTGAGTTTTAAGCCACTGGGTCCGGGACGTGAACCGGTTGACTACGTAGGAGTCCAGCGACATAGCCATTATGCTAACTGCTGGTTCCCATTTCTCCATCTTCTCATTGACCTGCTGAATCTCCAAAGGATGGGACCTCTCTGTTTAGCACTGACTGCACACTCTCAGCAGAGCACAGGCATGAAATGGACCTCGGGCATATTTCAGTCATGATCAAATGCAAGCAAAAATGACAATTTCAAATATAAAAGCCAACGAAAGACATAAGAGACAAGCAAATACACAAAAACTCTTGTTTTAGAATGGTGCTATATGCGGTGTGTAATGTCTACTCCAAGTTTATATACGAGATGACATTGGTTTCCTTATTTCATTTTTAAAAATTACAGGTAAACATAGAAATAAAAATGCAAATCAAAGTAACAAATATTTTTGGCCTTTGAACTACGAAAATAACGACCAGAGGAAAACCGAGAAATACAAGGGCAAGAAATAGACCATACGTACTACTGACATTCCCTTTACACTGAATAAACCACAAAAATCATTTTCACCACAGTTAGAGAAACCGGGAAAAAACAGCGATCATCTCCTTGAGCTAAAAAGTAATTAAAACAAAGTAACAAAGACATATTAACCAGACCATTCTTATAAAGTCTATTCAGCATGGGAATCTCAGGGCTTCAAAACACGTATTTACTGACAAACTGATCACTGGGGAACTGAAGAGAGCGTTTTCCTTTATATGTGTTACTAAAAGGCTGACTATGAACAATTAGTGAATTAAAAACAACTGAAGTTTAATTTTTATTTTATAAAAACGGGTATCATGAAAACCACATAATTACTTTCCACTTAGCCAACCACTGAGCTAATATTATAAAAATAGGTAAAAAATAGTCTAGACTCATAATTACCATGTGCTAATATCCATAGAGCTAGTATATATATTTAATGATTAAAAAAATAATTTTGTTTCCTTAAAAACACTTGGTTCGTTTATCATGTAATCTCAGATAGAGATCTGCTATGCTGAAGTACCAAAAAGAAAAACAAAAATCACAAATAAAAATGGCAATGTCTATACTTTAGGTTTCTTGCTAGGTGGGTCCTGAAGACTGAACTTGGGAATTTCACCAGAAGCAGCATATGGAATTCTCTTAGAAGATACCTTTTTGCCAATTGTTTCAATCTGGAAAACAAAAGATTTGAAAAGAGAACTGTTAATAATTATTAAGAACTCAGGGCTGGCAGGCGGCATGGTGGTTAAGGGCGCTGGACTCCCACATGACCGACTGTGGTTTGAGTCCTGGACATGGCGGCTTGCTTTCTCAATTTCTCTCTCTCTCTCTCTCTCTCTCTTGTTCTGTCCCTGTCTGGTCAAATTAAAAATAAATAAATAAATAAATAGATAAAGTTAAATAATTCTTTAAGAAATTATTAAGAACTCTATAGTGTAGTAAAATAAAGAAGAAATCATTTTATATATTTATATATACCACAATCTCTTCTCCATTCTCCTCTCGGGATTCTGGGCATGCACACACACGCTCCCAGTGGCTCACCAGGTCAAGGACTCAAAACATGCTGTCGGCCATGTGGGATCCAGTCGCCTTAAGCACCACACTACCGACTCACGCCCTCTTCACTTGTACATGGTATTACCCACCTACCACAAAGGGTCGTGGTAAGGATTAAATTAGATAAATATGGGGGCCAGCAGGTGGCATGGTGGTTAAGGGCGCAGGACTCCCACATGGCCAACCATAGTTCTAGTCTTGGACCTGGTAGCTGGCTCTTTCTCTCTCTCTCTCTCTCTCTCTCTCTCTCGCTTTGTCCCTCTCTGGTCAAAATAACATAAAATAAACAGTTAAATGAAATAATTCTTTAAAAAAATTTAGATAAATATTAAGTGTTTAGAATATAATAAATTAACCTTTGACAAATGTGTCCATTTTTATTTTCCATATACTAAATAATAACTCTTATACTTAAAGGTTCTATTTATTTAATTTCATAAGTTTACCTTCTTTCCATAGCAGATATATTACTTATTAAGTTTTTAATTAAAAATAAGTATTTAATTCTAACCTATACTACAAAGAGATGCTTTACATTAATCAGTTGTTTCATTTAGTGACTTACAAATTCTCTTTATTTACTGAGTCCATTCCTAATCTCTTTGCTTGTTTGTTAGTTTTCAAGTTTGCTATAGGGCACGTGTGCTCACCAGAGAGAGACAGAGAGAAGGAAGGTGAGAAACCACCCCTAGGGAGGATGGCCACACCGCAATCTCTTCTCCTCCATTCTCTTCTCAGGAGTTTGGGCCTGCACACACATGTGCCCAGCATGTTTCTCAAGTGGCTGGATCCAGGACTCGAACCATGGCAGCCCTAACCAGCACGCCACCTGCTGGCCCCTAGATCACAAATATAGAAAGGGGGAGGAGGAGTTACGAAAATCCCAGACAGACTTCCCAGAGAACTGACGTGTACCTGAGTTACATTACTGCCAAATGAGAAAACATGAAAATTTCAAAACCTACATACTGGGTTAAAAAAGCAAATGACCAAACAAATTAAAAAACAGGGTCACGGTTACCTGGAAGCCAATGGTTTGGAGTTCGCTGTGGAGCCCATCCAGGACACGTCGTCCATCAAATATAAATGCTGGCTTCAGCATTTTCTTATGAATGCGTTCATAGTCCAGTTCCTATGAAGACATACCAAAGGAGCCATGGGGACACGCGGGAACACGGGCCATGCCGACCGACACGACAATGCCTCTAGAATTTCCTTGCCATCCTCTCTGTCCCCTTACCTTGAACATGTCCCACTCGGTACAAATGACAACAGCATGGGCCCCATCACAAGCATCGTACGGATCCTTAGAGATGGTCACGAGTCGGGACACTAAGCCACAGAACAATCACCAGAAACAGGGAGTTACTTGAAATTGTGTACTTTTTTTGGGAGAGGATTTTGCTACAGGGCGTGTGCGCTCACCAGAAAGACAGAGAGAAACAGAGAGACGGAAAGCAAGAAATCACCCCCCAGGAGATGGCCACGCCGCAATCCCTTCTCCTCCATTCTTCTCTTGGGATCTTGGGCACGCACGCACACGAACCCGGCATGAGATTAGCCACCGGGTCTGGGACTCAAACCACAGTCGACTACATGGGAGTCCAATGACATAGCCATTACACTAACTGCTGGTCCCCCCAAATTGTGTATTTTAACACTAGGATTGCAAGACGAGTTGGGATCTGGTAGAAGTGTGAATGGGGGTGATGGTGAGGGGAAGAGAGTGCCCCCAAACCTTGGCCCAGAGGCTTTTCCTTGGCCACTGGGGCTTTGTGGAATATGCTGGGAAAAAAAGTCACCGGACTAACCCAAAACTGATGACTTCAAATCAAAACTGATGACATAATACCTGAGAGTAATTCTGGAGAAATGAGGTTGAAAAAGAGAACCTGTCAGTGATGTAGTAACAACCCATGGTCAACAGGTGGCGTGGTGGTTAAGGGGCTAGACTCCCACATGGCCAACACAGTTTGAGTCCTGGACCCAGTGGCTTGGGTATCAAACTCTGTGTGTGTGTGTGTGTGTGTGTGTGTGTGTGTGTGTATCCAAAATCCCAAGAGAACAATGAAGGAAAAGGGATTGCGGTGTGGCCATCCCTCCAAGGGGATGATTTCTCACTTTCCTTCTCTCTGTCTATTTCTCTCTGGCGAGTACACATGCCCTAGGGCAAAAACCTAAAAAAGAAAAGAAAAACAAAAAACACTGAACAGCCCAAGGTTTCCAGAGAACACACAAGTTCTAGGGGGCTAGACTCAGACGGAATCATGAACTCGAAGGCTTACCTTGGTCATCTTCTGAAACGCCTGGATGAGAAAGATCCACAACTATTTGTTCCCTGGGTACTTTCGGATCATAGATGTGGAGGTGTGCACCTTCGTCCATCAGATATTTGCTAATATATATACTAGAGGATTCTCTGAAGGACAAAGAAAAATACAGTATCGCTAAGCTTTAAATTATCCCAGGGAGTTTAAAATACAGGGAAGGTTCTTTTTTGGAAGCCGACTGAGCGGTGCGAATATGGTTATTTTTATTCTTCAACTATATATAAATGTATTTCATGCACCTATCCACCTATCAAAACATCAGGATAAGTAGCTACCATACTCTGGAAGGGGTTCAAATATTTCCAAGAACTGATACCTCGTATCACCGGTGTCCTTCTTGAATGCAAACCCCAAGATAGCAATCTTCTTGTCTGTGACTGTGTTAAACAGACAGTCTATGATGCGGGACGCGAACCTTCTCCTCTGGTAGTCATTCATGTCTATGACCTGAAATGACAGACAATTGCGCAGTGATGGTTAGGAGCTGCAGCCTTGGACAGACATTACTATTTTTTTTCTTTTTTTGGAGAGGTTTTTACTATAGGGCGCATGCGCTTGCCAGAAAGACAGAGAGACAGAAAATGAGAAATCACCCCCCAGGGGGGATGGCCACGCCGCAATCCCTTCTCTTCCGTTCTCCTCTCGGGATCTTGGGCACCCACGCACGCACATGCGCCAGGTGTGAGTTTAAGCCACCGGGTCCGGGACTCGAGCCACGGTCGACTACATGGGAGTCTAGCAACATAGCCATTACACCAACGGCTGGTCCCGAAAATTCTTATTTTCATTTGGTTGGACTTCGATACACTAGGTTGGGATGGGTACAAAGACGGGCCGCTAAGTTTTGACTCTGAAAGCACTGGCAGTCCAGCTATCAAGGGATAGCCTGAACGGGGACATGGAGGGCAGTGTTCTCCTTAGCCAGCGTCTCCAACTCCTGCAGAAGCAAGTGCTACACAGTTAAACCCCCAAGGACTCCCTGGTGCACTGGAGCCACACAGCTCACTGAAGTTCAGTTTACACAGGAAGAAACAGGGAAGCAGCAAGTGCAGAGATCCAGTTACCTCTGAGTAGACGGTTAACACCACCACCTTGACAAGGTTTTAACTAAATGTTCTAAGAGCATCTGATCGTGTAATTCAGGTTGGTGACCAGCTGTGCATAAGAAAAGAAACTTTTGGGCCCAGCAGGTGGCGTGGTGATTAAGGTACTGGACTCCCACACGGTCAACTTCAGTGTGAGTCCCAGACCTGGCGGCTTGCTTTCTCACTTTACTTCTCTCTTTCTCTAAAAATGAAACCAAGTTTAAAAATAATACTAATAACAGGGACCAGAAGATGGCATAATGATTACATCGCTGGGCTCCCATATAGTCGACTATAGTTCAAGTCTCGGACCTGGTGGCTTAAACCTCATAAATCACACACCTGTGTGTGTGCATGCTCAAAGTCCTGAGAGGAGAATGGAGAAGGGATTGCAGGGTGGCCACCAGATTGGGAGGGAGATTTCTCTCTGTCTGTCTCTCTCTGGCGAGTGCACGCGCCCTATAGCAAAAATCTGTCTAAAAATAATTATAAAACAAATAATATAAATAATTCTTTTTAAAAAAAGAAGATAAACTTTTTTGTTGTTGTTTTTGTCATAGGATATAAATATGCTTGCTAGAGAGAGACAGAGAGAAATCACACCCCATCTAGAACGGCCACGCTGAAATCCCTTCTCCTCCATTCTCCTCTCAGGATCTCGGACACACACGTGCGTGCGCATCCCTGGCATGATTTTTCAAGCCGCCGGGTCCAGGACTCAAACCACGTAGTAGGTCATGCACCTGAACTTCCACACCACCTCCTGGATCAAGAAAAGAAACTTGCATTTTGTAAAGCAATAAGCTCCTAAGGCCCATCTCAAACCTCTTAAGAGCTTAGGAAAGGAGCCCAAAGTGCTGGAAAACCAAGCCTTGATCTGCATTTTTCACACAACGTACGGTGAGATAAAGCCACCAAGCTAGATGAAGAGAAATGACATAAGGAGTATATGTTTTCCATTTAAAAAAAAAAAAAAGTGCATTCCCTGAGCTTTCTTCCCAGATCTGTTGGCTGAAATCTGACAATGTCTGAGCTCGGGGGAAGATATTTGGGAAAGGTACACGCACCAGCTAGTACCTTGGGAAGACAACGTGATGTCTCCCAGTGTCCGTTCCCTCGTCTAAAAATAGCGGATGACAAGGTGAGACAGGACCAAATGAGCTGCCGCGTGCGCAGGGCCCCAGAGAGCGCCCCCTGCAGCGTAGTGTCCGGGAAACACGCGTTCTACTTCCCAGAGCTCAGTAAGTGATTCCAGTTTGCGAAGCGTTTCTAATGGTAGCTCTGGGACTCTGAAAGGGAGGAAACCAGTTTCTACAGATGCAAACCGTGCGAGTACATTACAGCACAGCTAGTTCCTTTATTTCGATTGTATGCCTTTCAAATTAGGGGAGAATTGTAATGAAGGGCACTAGTTGTTGCTTTACTCTGGGAATAAATTTAGTTATAAAAACAGGGAAAAAAAAAATGCTGGTTTGTCAGAAATTTCCATCCCAGCTGAGAAGCAGAAAAGGCAAATTAAAAACATGGAAGTCCAATCAGTAAACCTAAAATAAACAAATGAAATATAAATATGGTTGAGTGCCAGGAATAAATAAACTCCATCCGAAACATTTCAGAGAAAGGGAGATAAGTTTAATTAGCAGCTAATCAGAAATGAGTGTCTACAGAGATGAGTACCTGCTGCCAGTAACGAGCGACTTCAGGCAAATTCAGAGCCTCACAGAGATAGACCAGATTCAAGACATCTTTCTGGAAGCAGCTCCCGCCAAAACCTGCAGGAAGAAAAAAATGATAATACTTTCATATGTAAGAACCAGACAATGAACCAGGTGACAAACTTTTCTTTTTTTAAAGATTTATTTATTTATTTTTATTTATTCATTCATTCATTTACTTTTATTTATTTATTTATTTTAATTTGACCAGAGAGACACACAGAGAAAGAGAGAGATAGAAAGTGAAAAAGCAAGCCACCAGGTCCGGGACTTGAACCATGGTCGACCATGTGGGAGTATCCAGCGCCTTAAGCACCACGCTACCTGCTTGTCCCCCAAACTTTTATATACTAAATTAGAGGGGCTATTTAAAATTATTTTCAAATTGCCAGAGGGTAGATGTGTGGCCAGAGACAGAGGGGGAGAAGCACCCTCCACACCACAATCCCTTCTCCTCCATTTCTCCGGCCTGCGGGATTTTGCGGCACTCACAAACGTGGACCCAGTGTGCTTCTCAAGGCTGGGACTTAAACCAGTGGCCACATGTGATCTGGCTCCCTTAACCACTGGGCTACAGGACAGGCCCCCTAGTAAAAGTCAGATGTTGGAGAGTTAATGGGTTTATAAACTATGTAAAATTTACAGGCAACTAATTGACTCTGTAATTTCCACATAATTTTCTTTCTTTCTTCCTTCCTTCCTTCCTTCCTTCCTTCCTTTCTTTTTTGGAGAAGTTCTTGCTATAGGGCACGTGTGTTCGCCAGAAAGACAGAGAGAGACAAAGAGACAGAAAGCGAGAAATC